CTGTTTTTGATACATTAATGTCAAACTATATATAACACTGTAATATGTAAAAAATAAATAATTAATTGTATGATTATTATAAATTAAATAATTCGCCAATATGTCGAAGTAAATGTTCAAAATTATCTTCCTTGAATCTCTAATAAGTAAACTAATTATTTTAACTTTCGTGGATACTGGGCTCATCCTAACTATTAATAATTAATATAATTATTAATGTAATTATTATCGTTAAAAGATATATTTATAAATATAACATACGCTGGAATGTATATTTGGAAAAATATTAAAAGCAACGTCTCTCTATTGGGTTTGGACCCAATATCCACCGTTCGATGGTTAATCGATTATTCGGATAATCTGTGCGATATTCTAGTACACTCAAAGGGTTGAAATTCGACCGTATTATTTTAAGACTAATTATTATTTTACCTATTAACCCTCGAACTATGCCGACTCAAGATATCGAAATTGTAGATGCTAATAAATATCGATCAGCAAAAAATTATATTACATAAAAAGAAGAAAGAAAAACTGAAAATACTTTATGAATTTATGATTTTCTATTTATCAATATACAGGAAAAAACAATATTTATTTTGTACTGTTCTGGAGCGAAAAATGACTCGACTTGGCTCGGTTCGAGGGTCAATCATGCTAAGTCTAGGGTTAGCGCCCGTAATATTAGCGTAATATTTTATTTTAAGGGCATATGGCTGTGTGTGTGTGTGTTCGTCGGCCGCCTTCTAAATCATTCATTGTCGAACGTCTGTTCGAACGCGAACGTCCCCTTTGTCCATCGGGTTATTTCCGTCCGGGAATCTCGCTTTTGGTCGGCTCGTCAACTTCAATAAGGATTGTTAAGGACGTGACGATCAGTAAAATTCAATTTTCGCTGCCTAAAACTGGCACGTTCGTGAAAGATTGAAGATTATCCGCGCAGGTCACTTGATTATTGTCCACTTGAATATTCCGAATATTCATCAGACGGTTCTCAATGATGCACGAACACGTCTCGACCGGGTATAAAAATAAGGAACCGTTGTTTACACCGCTGGTTTTAAAAACGGAACCCTCGGAATATAAAAGCTTTTTTAACCCGGGCGAATTCCGAAGCAAGACAAATTTAATACGGAGTTTAATTAACTATACTGACGCTTGAAAACTGTGAAATTGTATCCGCTGGATTCAAGGAGATTCTCAGTATAAGTTATATTTGAAAATTAAATATATTTACTTGCTTCATGTGTTGGCCTAAACACACGTATATCTATTTCGTTCGTTATTATTTTTACCTGTGTGCTTCGGAAAACTCAGCAAAATATTTCAAACGATCGTCGAGAAGAAGCTGACGGAAATCAAATTGCTCAGGAAAAAATGCATCATGATTGTACCGGGACGAATTTAAGAATACATGATCGCGTGATTGTAAAACTAGGCAATATAATAATAAATATGTGTAATAATTAGGAACATATAATTACAATAACGAACAGTTTACGGAAAATCATTATATGTTTATTCACGTTGTATACTCATTTCTTTAATAAATATATATGTTGTAATTCATTTTCACAAAATGTTTCACACAACACGCGTAACATTGTACGTAAAAGTGTTTCTAGAACAAGTAATTTCCAATACGTTCGTGAATCGCGGAAAATGAACAAAAGAAGCCTGATCTGCAACCTAATCTCAATACGAAGTATTTCGTCGTTTCTCTCCTCTTCTACACTCGCGCACGAAAAATCCAAGGGAGCATCGCCGGTTACCGCGAAATTTCAAAACGAGCCCTCTCGACACGGGGTTACAGAGAAGGATTTCCCCTCTAACGACGATTCCCTGAAGAGGGGCGGAAGGACAATTTAATCACGACGACGCCCGAGTGAAATTACAGGCGCAAGAAAAGGAGACGGGGGAGGGGGAAAAAAAAAAAATAACGCGAAGATTCAAAGGATAAAAGTCGAAGGGCCGCGGCGAAACGCTCGCGCCAGAAAGAGAAAGAGAGTAGTTGCCCGAAGAAAAAGTGGGAATTCAATTTCAACTTGGTCCCCCTTGTGAACAACATCATCCGGGGAAGTTTAATTAAACCCGTGCACGGAAGAATGTGAAAGATCAAAAAGCGAAACTCGCCCAGTATCGACTCCTCCGGCGAGGTGAAACGAAGAACACGCGCGCGTTTTTGTTTTTTCCTCTCT